TTTTTTTTTTTTTTTTTGGGTTAAAATTGTTAAGTGGCTTATGTTATGTTCTGTCAGGATTACTCGCAGACCCCTCCTTGTCAAGAGTTGCTTGCAAAGGATCTTCATGGAAATGAATGGAAGTTTAGGCACATTTTTCGAGGTGGGTTATCAAGAACAGTTATAGTATGTCAATAGTTCCATATTTTTCTTAAATTGATTTCTGAAAATGTTTCTTCTGCTGTTGTTATGACTCAAGTGGGATATATATGTTATTCTAGCCTTCTAGGTGACATGTGCTTTCCCTTTCATCTCTCTATCAAACACTTGAGCTAATACATCAGATACAGGAAATTCTCATTTTTGTGACCATTTATCACGATCTTCCTCAAAGAATTAAATATGTAATTTACTAAGTTCAAAAGGTAATGGTAACAGCTTTTTGTTGCTATTTATTGTGTTTTCCCATGTTCGGTTATATTGGGACAAAGTGACAAGCAAGGTGTCATTAAATGCAATAGTTGTTTCTTTAACCATTGGAAAAATTGCCTCAAAGGTCTTGAATTAATCTTTGTAAGATTTATTACATGTGTCAGATTCAGTTGCTCCATGTCAAATCAGATTAATTATTGTAACGGTCAAATATATCCGACACGTTTTTTTAATCCAAAAGAGATAGTTCGAAAGAAATCTCTAGTATTTGGAATGAATCTAGTGGGTTTAGTTTCATAATTCGGTGATCAACTAATGAAACTACAATTTCAACCTTAAGTTGATGATGGAAAATCTATCGGGTGTGCAGGTCAGCCTAAGAGGCATCTCCTTACAACAGGATGGAGTGTGTTTGTGAGTGCAAAGAGACTAGTTGCCGGGGATTCTGTTATTTTCATTTGGTATAAACCATTTTTTTAATTATTAGTTGAGGAAAAAAAAATGATTAGTGTAACCTTACTGAACCGCCTCGCTGTACACAACACTTAACCTTTTTGCTTTCTTAATCTAATTCCATTGATATTATAAAATTATGCAATAATTGCTATCCCTCAGCATTCTTTTTTTTTTCTTTTTCTATATATGTATATATATATATTTGTTTTTTTGCATGTTATCAGGAACGAAAATAATCAGCTTTTCTTGGGGATACGTCGTGCAAATCGACCTCAAACAGTTATGCCTTCATCTGTGCTGTCGAGCGATAGCATGCACATTGGGCTTCTTGCTGCTGCTGCCCATGCAGCAGCCACTAATAGTCGATTTACTATTTTCTATAATCCAAGGTGAAAAAATGGATTCTGTTTATTTTCTGCTCACATTCATTCAGGCAAAAGTTTCTTGCATATTCACAGTTATTTAAAAATTTTCAGGGCGAGCCCATCTGAGTTTGTGATACCTCTGGTGAAATACGCCAAAGCAGTTTATCATACAAGAGTTTCCGTGGGTATGCGTTTTCGGATGCTATTTGAGACTGAAGAATCGAGCGTTCGTAGGTATGTCTGATTTCCTTAAAAATTTAATAGACATGCTTTCCAGTTGGTGTATGGCTCATAATTATTCTTTTGGCTATGATTAAGTTATCATTATCTGTCATAGCAACTTTTGAATACATTAATTATTTTTTTTATTTTTATTTACTTTCTCCTGTTTCACATATTGGTCTCTTTTTAGTGAGTAAATTAACGTATTTTATTATTTGGTCTTAGGTATATGGGTACAATTACTGGCATTAGTGACTTGGATCCTGTTCGTTGGCCAAACTCTCATTGGCGCTCAGTAAAGGTGTGAACATAGTGATTAGAAAATTCAGTTTCCATTCAGTGGTTTTCATTCACGAGCTGTTTTGTGATTTTCTGGTTTTTCTGTCATTCAGGTTGGTTGGGATGAATCGACTGCAGGCGAGAGGCAACCGAGAGTGTCATTGTGGGAGATTGAGCCTCTCACAACTTTTCCTATGTACCCATCTCCATTTTCCCTCAGATTAAAGCGGCCATGGCCAGCTGGACTCCCCTCATTCTCTGGTCTGGTTTACAACACTTTAAATTTTTCTCCGAAGTACATAAAACTTCAACTACTTTGCAAATTACAAAATCTATACTTGAGGTTGAATCTTCCTACTTTCAGCAACTGCTTCCACTTAAAGAAATTGCTGATGTTGTGACATCATCATCATCTAATCTACTTCAACAATTGTATCGTCAACTTTACAAATAACCCCAAATCCCATCATACATTTTACACTTACATGCCTCAAATTATTTCTAACATAGGCAATAAAAATGGGTCTGTTTGTAATATTTTTAGAGTTCAGGAGTATCAATGTAACATAGTGAAAACGTAGTAAGTTCTACAAGGGAACCAACAATTGGGACTCTGTAATTGCAACCCAACCTCAAGTACAGTTTTTAAATATTAAAAAAAACAAAAATTATACATTTTTTTTTTCCGGTTATTTCAGGCCTTAAAGATGGTGATATGGGCATGAATTCTCCACTCTCGTTCCTCCGTGGAGGTTTTGTGGACCAAGGACTTCAATCCCTTAATTTCCAAAACCTTGGTTTTTCGCCATTTATGCAACCGAGATTCGACTCGTCTTTCCACTCTGTACAGCCTGATAATATTTACCAGGTAATGGCAGCTGCAGCTCTTCAGGACACTTCTACATCATTAGATCCCTCGAAACTCCTACAATTCCAGCAAAATATTCCAAATATTCCCACTTCATTAATGCTGAGTCAAATGCTACAACAACCACCTCAGTCCCATCAAACCTTCACCCACAACATTCCAGAAAACAACATCATTTCTCAGGGTCAGTTTTTACAGCAGCAGCAGTTTCAACTCCACCAGCCGCCGGTTATCGACCAACAACAGCAAATTTACCCTCAGTTTCAAGATAAACAGGTCAAAAAGTCAAATCCCGACAGCTCGCCATTAGAACCGGTCTCTGAGGCTCAGTTCACGAGCCAGCTGCAGAATTTCTCTGACCTCATCAGGGCCCACATACCATCATCCTCCAACAATCCCTCTATGCAGAACCTCGTTAGCTCTTTTTCACGAGAAGAAGCTTCCCAGTTAGTCTCTCAATCGTCATCCTCCAAACGGGTGGCATTGGACCCACAGATTCCGAACAAGGCTTCTCATTTTGGCGTTCCCCATTTGGAAGAACTCAAGATGTCTAATTCTAAGGTCTCAGACATCTCGGCAATATTGCCACCTTTTCCGGGTCGTGAATATTCGGACTTTCGGGGCCCAAGCAATTCACATAGCAATTTGTTGTTTGGGATTGGTAACGACTCTTCAGCTAATGTGGTGAACGGAGGCTATGAGAGCGAGTCTTTGACGATCCCTTATGCGGGCCCCGATTTTGGAGGTGGCGTAGCCGCTGAGTTTCCCCTCAACTCGGACATGACCACATCGAGTTGCGTGGATGAATCGGGTTATTTGCAGCATTCAGAGAATTTGGACCAAACAAACCCGACCGCAGGAGCCTTTGTTAAGGTAAAAAAGAAAAGAAAATTAAGAAAGTGTTTTTCTTTTTGAAGTTTAAGCCATATTTCTCTCACTTTTTTTTTTTTTACAGCACATGCTTATCACAAAAACTACCTTTCAGGTTGGTCTAATTAACAAAAAGTGGAACCTGCACTCTTGGTGTTTGTTTCACTTTTCTGATAACAAGAAGTTATTTATAACGTTAAAGATAGTAATTCTTTCCCTTTTTTTAGGTCAAACCTCTCAAAGATAGATTTGTAGTTAGACCATGTCTTAGTGGTCATGCTAACTCAGCAGCTACTTTTCCTGTTAGAGAAACTCTAGAGACGCTGTAATTCTTTCCTGAATTGGGCAACACGAGTTTTTGTAACATAGAATTCTGATTGGAAATTCATTTTGTTCAAGCTTGAATATATCGTACACCTTCTGTTTTTTTTTTTTTTTTTGACCTTAATCGAAAGATAAAAGTATTATTAATGAGTTGGACTTGTTTTTGTGGACAGGTTCACAAGTCAGGGTCCTTCGGGCGTTCACTCGACATCTCCAAATTTAGCAGCTATCCGGAGCTGCGATGTGAGCTGGCTCGGATGTTCGGGCTCGAAGGTTTATTGGAGGACCCACAGAGATCAGGCTGGCAGCTTGTATTCGTTGACCGGGAGAATGACGTTCTTCTCCTCGGTGATGACCCTTGGCAGTAAGTCCCTTACTTTACCATGTCTTCATTTTTTCCTCCTCTGATGGTTGCTGAATATTATTTTTAAATTCTGCATGGTCACAACAGTATATAAAATAATTCCTTAGCACATTAAGGAATATGATATCTTTTGATAATGTTAAGTGTTCTATTGCAGGGAATTTGTGAACAGTGTCTGGTATATCAAGATTCTATCCCCCATGGAAGTGCAACAGATGAGAAAAGAGGGGCTCGACCTCCCGAATTCCTCCCAAACAAAACCAGTTCTCGAGCAGCAGCAATAGCTGTGATGATTACATGAGCCAAAAAGACTCAAGAAGCAAAAAAAAAAAGGGAGGGAAACATCTATAATGTAACCGAAGCAAAACCAAGTTTCGTCGTGTATAAATTGCTTCCATTGGCCTGTGATTTTTCCTTTGTCTTTCAACTTGTACTCTTTTTAAGGGCAGTGGTATGTATTAGTATCTTTTGTATTCTGCTTAGGGCTTTAATTGTTAAAGCTTGTATTATGGGAGAAGTGTATATCTGTACTGTGAGTCCTTGTCTTGTTAGAACTAACATCTGAATGTTTGAGATGTGAGACCTTGATGGCCATTTGTAATCAAGAAAACCAAGCAGGCTTCTTTATCTTAAATGTTCTCCATGTCCCAGAACAATTTCATTAATATTATCATTATTATTATAATTGTTATTTTTAGCTCACATAACAATGTAAACACTATGCAGCAAATTAATTCTCCAGAAAAAAATAAAATAAAAATTAACAAAAATCCAAGATCATAAAACTTCACAAGTCATATGCTTTTACAACATGTTGTTCACTTTGAAATCCCCCACCAATAGCTATCAACTCATCATGTTTATTTCCCAACACATCATCTTCAACATCATCATCAATGTCGACGTCATCATCGTCCTCATAACTTCACAAGTCATATGCTTTTATTATTATTATTATCATTATAAATATGATTGTTATTTTTAGCTCACATAACAATGTAAACACTATGCAGCAAATTAATTCTCCAGAAAAAAATAAAATAAAAATTAACAAAAATCCAAGATCATAAAACTTCACAAGTCATATGCTTTTACAACATGTTGTTCGCTTTGAAATCCCCCACCAATAGCTATCAACTCATCATGTTTATTTCCCAACACATCATCTTCATCATCATCATCAATGTCGACATCATCATCATCGTCATCCCCCATATCATCTTTCAAGACCCGACCGGATGACACGTCATCAATGTCCACATCATCGTTGTCATCATCATCATCACCCCCAAAATCATCTTTCAAAACCCCACCAGACAATACGTTTTCAACGAGCCCTTTAGCCTCATTTTGTTCTTCAACCGTTTTCGCCAACGACAAGAGAATATTCTTCGCCTTCTGATCTGGCGAAATCCCAACCGACACCATCTCGTTGAACCAAACAACTGCACTGTCGAAATCCTTATTCTTCCCAAAAGCATCCATGATTGTGGTGAGCACTGTGGCGTTGGGTTCGATCCCGCACGACCGCATTTTCTCATATTTTTCCATCATTTTCTCGAGATTATTTAATAGGGCATACCCTTTGATAAGTGTGCCGTGTGTGACAACATTGGGCTGAAGCCCGTCTTCTTTTATCCTTCTGAAAAATTTCTCGGCCCCATCCATGTCAGATGCATTTACGTAAGCCAAGAGCATGGTCGTATACGAGCAGAGGTCCGGGGTGCACCTGCACCGCGAAATGGAGGAGTGTAACTCGTTTATTATGTTATTATTTCGTAATTAAGGCTAAATACAATATCCAAAAGTGAAATCACATCTCCAACTCCATTCCCCATCTTTAACAGCATAAAAAATGGCATATTTGCAGGCTTCACATTCAACAAGATCATCATCTAAAATAGAGAACTCTGCATGATGGGTAATGCTCACAATAAAAAAGCTCGAATGAAAAATGAAGATGAAAAATGACCCGGCATAAAATCATATTAAGCATAAACACGAACTACAAGCAAGGACAACAGATAAGTGGCATATAGTTCTTTTGTCATCAAAATAAACAAATATAAATTACCTGTCTCTTCTCATGCTCTTGAAGACGGTTCGTGCTTGCTCTACCATTCCAGATATTGCAAATGCATCAAGTAGGAGATTATACGCTTTCCGGGTTGGCCTGATGAAATTAAATACATTTACATACGTCTCAAGCAAACAGAGGAACAAACCAACTAGCAAAGTTTCACAGTAAAGTTCATATTAATATGTACACTATTGAGTTTTCGTTTTAAGGTCTACAATTGAAAGGATCCAAATTTAGCGAATAAAAGAAAGCCCATCTTACTCAACTAAACACCCAATCTACGGGAAAAATATTTAACAAAAAATTTCAGTGACGATCCCAGCTATTGTTAGCTAGATGTAGATTTTTATTACATGAACACTTTTTTGCAGAATCTTTAACATAATCACACCTGACACCAGCATCAAGCATCTCCTCAAACACAGCTAAAGCCTCTTCTTCTCTTCTAGCTTTTCCATAAGCACTAATCAACAGTGCATAGCTCACAACATCAGGTCGAATGCCCGCCCTTTGCATCTGATATAACAAATTCACTTCATAAAATTAGGTAAATTGGCCAAATACAGCAATATGCTTGAGTTAAAACATGGTTAACTGTTGAAGAAGCTGCATGCAAGTAGTCACAACATCAAAGAGAAATACACAAAAGAAATTTAGCATAATGATACAATGAATCTCAATCCAAAAAGTCATATTGACAAATTGCGTCCAGATAACTGCTTGGTAAAACTCAGTCAATTAAAGCTGCAGAAGATTTTCTACCTGATCAAAAGTCTTTGAGACCTCCTTGTAGTTAGTCTCGAAAGACATCAAGCTATTATATGTAACTGTGGTTTTCTGGATTCCTCTCGTGGACATCACTGCGAATAGTTTACGAGCTTTCTCGTAGGTCCCTGCCTTCTTGTGCATATAGATCATCATGTGAAACATTTTCTGGTCAGGTTTCAAAGGTGATGTCTTTTCATCCAGAAGAGTATCAAATATTTCTTCCGCCTCTCTAAATTTGTCTCCCTGAAATAGTGCAGAAGAGTTTCAAAAGTAATATATTAGGGTCACCAATAAGGAACCATTGCTGAACATGAGAAAATGCATGTTGGGGCACATATTTATAGAAAAGATTAAGATTAATTACCTCAACATATATTTTGAGAATTATTTGATACGTGATAGCAGATGGCTCGGGACCTGAAGATTGCATTCCACGAAATATTTCCTCGGCTTTATCGAATTGTCTTCCTTTTCCATATGCTTCCATAAGAGCAGTATAGGATACTACATGACCCGGGTACCCTTTTTTGCTCATGTAGCCTAATACTTTCTCTGCTTTAATAAAGTCTCCTTGTTTCCCATAGGCCGTCATAAGCATCAGAAAGTCAACCTCCTTGAAATCCCACCAATGCTGAGTTCGAAGCCATTCAAGAACCTACACAGAGAAAAATAATTTTAAAAAAAAATGAAGAAAGGGGCAACCGGGTGGGCAATAGCATTACACATATAAATAGATTGCAAAATTATGAATATTTAAAGATAAACCATAATTTTTGAATTTTTTTTCCCATGAAAAATGACGAGAACCAATCACAGGGATTTGAACTTTGAAGTACCTCGCTAACAAGGTTCCATTTCTTGAGCTGCTTAAATCTAACCAAAGTCCCAACAACAAGGTCCTTGGGCAAAGCCTGGTTTTTTACCCTCCGGCTTTTAAGAACTTCAATGGCGGAATCCGCCTCCTCTATGTCGAGCATTAGTTTCCACCAGTTTCTCTGGTCAGCTTCATCGGCAGCATCCTTAAAAATCGCAACTTTTTTCCTCCTCTGCATGAACTTCCTGGGTGCTAGCATGCCAAAACACAAAATCTCCCCCCTTTTACATATCCTAACACTGGGGTTAACCGAGTTCTTCCAGCCATATGATTTGCTGGAGAAAAAAGAACACAAGTTCCATACCGACAGAACAAAAATAAATAAATAAATAAATAAATCCTACTCCCACAGAGAGAATACCAAACAATACAAAGCATCATATGGATATACAAATCCGACATATCCATCGTTTTAATACTTTATCACGGATATGTTTTAATACTTTATCACGAAATTAGTGTTATAGTCATTTCAACAAACACATAAAACTCGTTAAAAAGCTCCATATTTAGCAAGAGTTGGAGTGACTGCAAGCCATTCAAAAAGTTTGTCAAGAACAAGATCACTATTTCACATGGGCACCCCACAAATGAGAACTTCAGAGCAAACTCATAATTAAATGTGAGACTGAAACCATAAACAAAAGAAAAATAGAAAGCGGGGCTAAGTTGGGAAGAGTAAAACACACCTCCAAAGAGAAGTAGATGGAGCTGAAACGAAGGGCTTCGTAAACATTGTTGAAGGTTGCGGCATTTCCTTTAATCTCTATTAAGCTCAGAAACTTCACCGATTATTCAGCTGTTTACTGCTCTCAATCGTCCTCGCAATGGGGAGCAGAGGGGTTGCGCTCGACTTGGAGCCTTTTGAGCAAAAATTAGTTTAAGATACTTCTCTATGGATAATTTAGAAAGTGAGCTATCACTTTGCGGATTGGTCCCTGTAGTCTCGAAGTTTTGGTCATGTGCCTCGGACCCAATAATTTATTTATTTGAAGGCAAACGAAAACTAAAAACTGCATATGTGCATCTAAATCTACACTTATATTAAAGGAAGTATTATTTACCAAATTAAGTAGTCAGAAAAGTCAACAGCATTTATTGCATTACTATTTTCGTATTATATTATATAAAAAGATATTCTATTTACTATATTTATTATCCAGAAAAGTCAACTGCATTAAATGTCATTACTATTTTGGTATTATAATATTTTATTTATTTAATTGATTTATTTATTTGTTTTATTTTAAAAAGGTAAGTATAATAAAAATATTTTCATAAAAAAATTAAATACTAAATAAAAATATAAACTTTGACTTATTTGATTATATTTGGTATTTGATTATACCAAATATATTCCTTTAGTATATACATTAAATACTTACTAAAGTATTTATTTATTTTATTTATCAAAGTTAAGTATAGATTTGTTTATATTATAAAATCATAAGAAATATTAAATCCATATTGTAAAAAAAAAAATCATATAATTTTATAACAATTCTACTACACTATTTAACAATATTCTTTTTTTATTATATAATAAAATAATAATTAAATATTATATGATGAACAACAATAAGTAAAACTGTTACTTTCTCTTATATCAAGGGATAAATTTATATGCTAAAATTAAATTTTTATTAGTATAAATGTTTTAGTGAGATAATATATTCATTATTTTACAAGCTAGCCCTAACATGCTCATATTTAATGTTTTAAAAGATGTAGAAAAAAAACTTATAATAACTCTATTGTTTTTTAGACTTAAACGTTGATTAAAAGAGGTAAAAATTCCTAATTTTTTAGACTTAAACGTTGATTAACACCATAGATTGAGAGTTTATATTTAGTAAAATTCCTAATTGTAATAAAAATTTAATTTTTGCTATATTTTAGAATATTTTTAAATTCATTATAAAAAAAAAAAGAAAAAAAAAACTACAATGAAAAAAATAAGTCAGCTGTATATCGATTTGTTGTACTCCTCAAATCACATTCACAATTTGCTACAAGGAAATGAAACTCATTGATTAAAATATTATTTTGTCAGTAGTCTTAATGTACAAGAGACTTTAAGACTTCACTTGAATATTATAAAATTTTTATTGAACATCGTACAATTTCTTGCGTATTATAAACTTTTATTGAATATTGCATCTTATAATATAATATTCTCCAAATAAATATATCTCGCGGGTCACGTACTATATATATTCCGTATATTTTTCTTTATTCATGTATATAATTATATGTCTGAATAAATAGCCTTAAAATTGTGCACCCCGTGCATCGCACGGGCTATGTACTAGTTGGAATTATTATCCCAACGATTATTTTTATAGTGTGTGTTTATTTTTTGATAAGTAATGTGTGAAATTAGTAAAGCCACGTGTTCCATGGGCAACGCGTACGTAAAACGTAATTACTACATATAAAATCGTCGGTGCCTATTTTGATGTTTCCTCCTCTAGTGTTATTTTCACTATTCATTTATTTATTTATTTTCCTTTTATTTTCTTTTTGCCAAATAATTTTAGAAACATATGGATTGTTTGTCAATGGATAGTGGATAGTTGATTGTATTAGTGCATAGCTGAAAAAATTGTACTGATTGTATTAGTGTATAGCTGATAAAAAATTGTAGTTCCGCTCGTGAATTATATTAGTTGTTTATAAACAACTATTTGACAAATAGCAGGTTGTATAACATTTTGTAAATTTTATGTTAACATATTATTGTACGAGTTCTTTGTTCCCATAATGCTCTTATATTGAGCCTTTTTTAAGAATTATTCAAAAAAATTAATCAAATAAACTTCTTACCAAACAAGTTAATTAGTATTCTTGACAGATCAAATCATGAGGTTTAATTCTTTACCAATTTGCTAACATTCAAATAAGGCCTATAGACAAATGAACATTCAAATTTTTTATATTTTAAAACTAGACATATGTTATTTAATTTATTCTGCTTATGCGATCATTTTCTTTCTTTGGTTTCTATGACATTTTCTTTTTTCTTACAAAATAACGTCGACTCAAGTAAATTCCAAAACTAGGGGTGACAATTTGACAATGACTGACACATTATAAAATACAAACACGATTAAAAAAATACAATTACGACAATATAAAAGATAAGGACATATTACAAAGTACGAACACAACACGGTTGAAAAATACAATTACAAAAGAGATGATATCTATACTTATATTAAATGGAGTCATATTTATCAAATTTAATAGTTAGAAAAGTCAACAACATTTATTATTATTACTATTTCTGTATTATACAGTTTTATTTAATATTTGTTTTTCTGTTACGATTTTTAAAAACAGATATGGTCAAATTCTCTCATCATTAATTATTTTTCATTAATTATAATTTATTTATTTATTATTTTCTTATAAAAAACGGACAACATTAATTGATTTCCTTAAAATGTGGAAGTTGTTGCTTTATTTTTGTACAGAAAATCGGGGCTTCATTATAGAAATCTGTTCAATTACACAATGAATTTGCTATGATATAATTATTTTTTGTGGGAACTTTTTTCTTAACAGAAAAATATAGCATTTCAATAAGATTTTTGATTTTTTAAGACTGATTGTTATCATGCTATGAAATTGAACATTCCAATATACTTTAACAAAATATACACGTGGTGTATACATCAGTTAATAGAAATATAGAATCCTCATATTTTTATATATATGTATGTAATTTTTTAATGACCAAATTTAATTGATAGTTGTTGTGTTATGGGTTTTTTCATAATTGTTACTTGGTTGTTGTGATATTTAGTTTGGTTGGTGTCGCAAAAATTCTACATATATAATAAGAATAATCATTACAATGCAAATTAGAAAAATATTGATATTAGAAGAGATTGAGTACATGGCTTTTCTTAAATCAAAGTTGTTTAATTAGTATACAAAATTAAATTTTAAAAAAATATATGTGTATATTTTGTACATTATTTATACACTATTTAATTTTAAATCTATTTACATATTTTAAATTGATTACTTATATAAATAATACCAACATGCATTAAATATATTTCATTACATAAAAAAGAACAAGAAAACGTGCAACTTGTATAACTTTATAAATAATAATGACATTATATGGCAGTAGAGTTTATAATTAACTATTATATAGTAAATAAGAATAAGTAAAATTGTTAGTTCTCTTATATCAAGGAATAAATATATATAATAAAATCAAATTTATATTAGTATAAATGTGTTAGTGAGATAATATATTATTTATTTTACAAGTTAGCCCTAATATGCTCACGTTTAATGTTCTGACTAATAAAACAACGTTGATTAAAAGATATGAAAAATATATTACAACCCTATTTTTTGGACTTAATGGTTATTAAAAGAGGTGGAAAATAGATGATAACTCTTTTCAGACTTAAACGAGACTTAACGGTGATTAAAATAGGTGGAAAATGGATAATAACCCTTCTCAAACTTTAACGGACAGAACCTGTGAAAATAATTCATTTAAAATCTCTCTTTCGTATTGCACGGGGTACGCACTAGTTCATATAATGTCCGGTCCATCCTTGAGGCCAATAATATTTAATAAATCAAATTCAAGTAGTAGACCTCCACTCATCGCATAATTACCTACTCAGCTATGGAGTTCCTATGAATTGATTGCCATGAATGGTTCGACTCTACGAATTATAATTTTTTTAAACTTGTACAATTTGCTTCATATCATGACTTGGGTAGCACGACCGAAACTACGGAAAGAAGAATACAAAATGAAAAATTTAGTAGCTCGAGCTCAATTTATCATGCTCGATAAAAAAGTACAATCGCTTGAGTTCAACTCGAAATTAAAATACTCGAGCTCGACTCGAAATTTTTTAAGTAGAAAAATAAAATTACCATTAAGCGCCTATGTTATACTATTATAATATATATATGGGATATTAATATTCAACATATATCTCGTGCCGCTCGACGAGTCGTTCGACAATGCAAAATATAGACTCGAGTTCGTGCACGAACCGCTCGAGCTCGACTCGAGTTCGTATTCGGTCAAACTCGAGCTCGACTCGAGTACTCGCTAGCCGCTCGATTCGTTTGCAGCCCTAATCGATAATATGAAAACAAGATGGTGTAAAGACAAAATCAACTTGATATTTTATAACATAAATATGCATATTCATTAAAAAATCATGATTAATTAACCTACCATACATCTATCATTATATTAAAAGATTAACCATTTAACACTTTTAGCAAGTTTTTCCCGCCAAATATATTTAATGTCTCCTAAAAATAAAGTCGCATTGAATGTTGCCCTTAAATCATGGCAGTTGTTAATTTAGTTTGGAGAAAATCGTGGCAACTAAAACAAACTACATTAATTACGGTTGATTTAATATTTAAATGGTAAACAAATATTACTTTTTTATGACTGATTTAAATTTACGTCTGTTTAAAAGTAAAAAACTACTTTTGTAATTTCAACAAATTTGTACTCTTTAATGTACGGCTGATTTAAAATTAAGAATTTACTTTTGTATTTTCACAAAAAATCGTATAAAGAAGTATGGCTGGAATAATAATAAAAAATTAATTTGTTAAACCATATTTTGCACTCATAGATACGAATTCTCATCAAATTCAAGATTTAAAATTGTGAAGAATGTATATAGATGTGGACTGATTGAAGATATATGATTCCTTAAATTAAGGAATTTTTTCCGGTAAAAAAAAATATAAACTTTAAATATAGATTTTATTAGTAGTGGATTCCAAAGAATATTGTTACATTTAAAATTCCTATGAAGAAGAATTCTATTAATTTTCAAATTCAACATCTCATAAAAATAATATAATACACTTTTATATTCTATGAAACAATATTTAAAACCCACCGTTCAACATGCATAAAATGTAAAATTACCTAACATGAATCATTTTAACTTTCTAAAATCAGTACACAATTTGCTCGGTATGTACTAATAGTCTAATAGTTAAGAGTTAATATTTGCTATGACATCTATTGGTTAGAAAGAATTCCCTTTTGTATGGAATTCGAAATAAAAAAACATATTCTGAAAATCAAATCTGATTTAGAGATGGATTTCTTAATGGCCTTAAATTATGCACATATATTGTTTCAGTTTTTAGGATTCTTTTTTATGATCTCAGTCTTTGCATTATATGAAATCTATACTTATATAAAAAGTCATCCTATAGTAGGCAGAAAAGTCAAAGGTAATTAATGCTTGCTGGAAATAGAATGATATTAATTACAGATTTGTTTTGGTATTTATAGACTTGACATTAAAGATTTGTTATGGGGTAAAAATCAGAACCGATTTTTTTAACTTTGCCAGAAAAGTCAAAGGTAAGTATTGATTTGTTTTATCCCATAGCATCGATTTAGTTAAGAAAATCCCTTCAAATCAGTTTTATATGTCAAGCCTATGAATAAAGATTTAATCGGTCAAAATTAAATCCTTATTTTACGTCACCCATAAATAAAGTAGATGTCAAGCCTAAATTGAAGGGTTTAGTTGTCTATATAGTCATTGATTTACATAGATACATCTAACGTTTAAAGTTTGTGTAGATTTTTTTTTCCGAAACGGCAGAGATAACTATCATATAAAACTCAAAGTGAACAATATTCGAATACAAACCACAAATACCGAACCAAAAAATAAGAAAATGAGAGACACACACGCAGGTGGTCTAGAGCCTCAAATACACAAATAATAAGTTTGTGTAGATTTAAAATTCTTTCTTATCTTTTTACAAAAAATCTTATTATTATTGTATGAAAAATCAAACTCATAATGTTGTGTACAATGAGGTCTTTAATAATATATGATTGTTTGTTTGTCGAATACTATCTTATTGTACAATTTTCCTGCGTATTATAAAACTTTTATTGAATGTTGCATCTTATAATATAGTATTCCTCAAATAAATATATCACGTGCCTCGCACGGGTCACGTACTATATATATCCCGTACATTTTTCTGTATTCATGTAAATAATTATAAGTCTGGATAAATAGCCTTAAAATTGTGCACCCCGTGCATCGCACGGGCTCTGTACTAGTTAATGAGAAATGCTATAGGTATATAATAGTATACATCAAGTTTTACATAACACTCACATTAAGTGGATCTTACCAAAAATAAAAAATAAAGTAAACCCCACCCATATGAGTGTTATGTACACATGTATGTACATTTTATTTACTTGTAGCATTTTTCTACATTATATTACACATACATATTTTTATTTTTATTATAATTGTCACCCAATTTTTATAAATTTGAATAACGTCACATATGGAATCATTTATTTATTTAAAAAAAAAATAAAAATATGTGGAAAAAAATAATAAAATAAAAAAAGTTGTGGAAAAAAATAAAACGAACGGATTCTGGGAATCCGTGTTTCAAGGAAAAAACAGATTCTCAGAATCCGTTTTTATTTATTTATTATTTTTTTATTTTTATTTTATTTTATTTTTTGTTAAAAAACGGATTTTGAAAATCCGTTTTTATTTTTTATTTATTTTTTATTCATTTTTTATTTATTTAATTTTTTTATTAAAAAAAACATAAAAACAGATTTTGAAAATCCGTTTTTATTTTTTAATTATTTTTTAATTATAAAAAAAAAACTTAAAAACGGATTTTCAAAATCCGTTTTTAAGTTTTATTTTGATTTTTTGTTTTTTAAAAGATAACGAGCGATTACACTATAATTGACCGAGATGTACTAATTCGACTTCAATTAGACTAATTGAAGGTCGATTACGGTATAATTGACCGAGATTGTACTAATTTGACATCAATTGGACTAATTATAGTGTAATCGAATTTGAATTAGTCCAATTGAAGTCAAATTAGTACAATTTCGGTCAATTATAGTGTAATCGAACTCGAATTAGTCCAATTGAAGTCAAATTAGTACAATCTCGGTCAATTATAGTGTAATTCGACTTCAATTGGACTAATTCTCGGTCAAATTATAGTGTAATCGAACTACAATCTCGGTCAATTATAGTGTAATCGAACTCAAATTAGCACAATCTGGATCAATTATAGTGTTATCGAACTCAAATTAGTCAAATTGAAGTCGAATTAGTACAATCTCGGTCAATTATAGTGTAATCGAACTCGAATGAGTCCAATTGAAGTCAAATTAGTCCAATTGAAGTCGAATTAGTACAATCTCGGTCAATTATAGTGTAATCGAACTTGAATTAGTCCAATTGAAGTCAAATTAGTACAATCTCGATCAATTATAGTGTAATCGACCTCAAATTAGTCCAATTGAAGTCGAATTAGTACAATCTCGGACAATTATAGTGTAATCGACCTGAATTAGTCTAATTGAAGTCAAATTAGTACAATCTCGGTCAATTATAGTCTAATCGACCTCGAATTAGTCCAAATGAAGTCAAATTAGTACAATCTCGGTCTATTATAGTGTAATCGAAATCGAATTAGTTCAATTGAAGTCAAATTAGTACAATCTGGATCAATTATAGTGTGATCGAACTCGAATTAGTCCAAATGAAGTCAAATTAGTACAATCTCGGTCAATTATAGTGTAATCGAACTCGAATGAGTCCAATTAAAGTCAAATTAGTCCAATTGAAGTTGAATTAGTACAATCTCGGTCAATTATAGTGTAATGGAACTTGAATTAGTCCAATTGAAGTCAAATTAGTACAATCTCGATCAATTATAGTGTAATCGACCTCGAATTAGTCCAATTGAAGTCGAATTAGTACAATCTCGGTCAATTATAGTCTAATCGACCTCGAATTAGTCCAAATGAAGTCAAATTAGTACAATATCGGTCAATTATAGTGTAATCGAACTCGAATGAGTCCAATTGTAGTCAAATTATTACATTCTCGATCTATTATAGTATGATCGAACTCGAATTAATCCAATTGAAGTCAAATTAGTACAATCTCGGTCAATTATAGTACTAATTTGACTTCAATTGGACTAATTCGAGTTCGATTACAGTATAATTGACCGGGATTGTACTAATTTGACTTCAGTTGGACTAATTCGAGTTCGATCACACTATAACTGACCAAGGTTGTACTGAGTTCGATCACACTATAATTGATCGAGATTGTACTAATTTGATTTCAATTGGACTAATTCGAGTTCGATTACCCAATAATTGACTGATATTGTGCTAATTTGACTTCAATTGTACTAATTTCGTTTTATCTGTTTTTAATTTTTTTTTATTAAAAACGGAATTTTGAAATTCGTGTTATCTGTTTTAAATATATATATTTTTTTAAATTCGACTTTTTTAAAAAAAAATTAAAATTAAAACTAAACACGGATTGTGGAAATTCGGTTTTAATTTTTTTTAATTTTTTTAATTTTTTTAATAAAAAATTAAACACGGATTACGAAAATTCGTTTTTTAATAAAATATTTTTTTTTGAAAAACGAATTTTGAAAATCCGGTTGTTTGATAAATTTCCACAACATTTTTTTTTGTTTTATTTTTTGCCACAGATTTTTTTTTTTTATTTTATATAAATAAAGCACCCTCACATATGAGTCCTCTCCCACGTTTTTCTATAAAGTATCTAACAAAACTCGAACTTTTCATCAGCCAACACGATCCCACTCTCTCTTTTTCCCCTATAATTCTGCGCTTCTTTCTCTCTCTAGAATCCATTAAAATTCCAATCAATTCTCATCCCGTTTGGATTCTCTCTGACAACCACTTTCCCATCTTCTAGAGAATTCGACGGGATTTTTCGTCTATTGATCGCCTATTTGTTGGATTCTTTTTATGGGTTTTACTCGACACTCCAAATTAGAATCTTGATTTTGAAATTTGGTGGCCGGTTTTAACCTTTTTCTCCGATTTGACTGATCGATCGATCGGAAGGTGGGTAAGTTTCGGTAGACGCATGAGAGGATTGGTAAAGCTACGATTTTCTCCTAATTCCAACCATTTTATTACTCCGATCCTCCATTTTTCGGAAAGCTGTAATTTTTTGTTGTTCCTCTTGTTGTTGAGATTAAGGTCGATCGGTTTGTGGATTGTTAATAGTCCGTATAGTTGTTTTTTCGATCCTTACCAATCGTTGTTTAATTATGGATTCGAGGGAGAACAGGAGTAATCGCCAGCTGCAAACCGGTGAGCTTCTTAGTTTTAGCCTTGATTGTGCTGGTTTTATGTGATCTGGACATCTGGTTAAGCTATTTTTGTTTAAGTTTTGTATTTATCTGGATTTTTGGCCATGGATGGTAATATTCGTTGGTATTATTTGAAGGAAAACTGAAAAAAAAAAGTGAACTTTGTTTTAGTGAGAGCATAAGGAATTGAACTTGTTTCTGGGGTTTGTTTAACTTTATTTATAGTTTTATACCTTTTGTTTTGTGTATGAATTTTTTAGTTTGTACGACTGTTATTAGGTTTGTTTGTCTAGCCTTAAAAGCTGATCATGACGTTTAAGTTATAGAATAAGCTTGAAGATCATAAATTTTACATAATTATTTTTACCAGCTTTCCTTGAGACCAGAAACTTGAGGGAAAATTACCCTATATTACAAAAAATTAAAAAATTAAATAAAAAATTAGCTTTACATGATCATGATGGTAAATTATAGAATTATGGAATCACCATGGGGTAGAACAGATTGCCATCTTTTCTCCCTCTTGCTGTAGCATATGTGTAAAGTTAGAGTCTCACAAGTAATATATGAACAAGGTTTGTATTTTATAGGTCCTTGCTATTCTACCTCGGGGAGGAGATCAGCAGTCTCACCATCTGTCATCGTCATAGGTGCTGGATTTGCTGGCATTACTGCTGCCCGAGCACTTCACGATGCCTCATTTCAGGTATGTATTTGACTGTAAATCTCCTAGCATGTTATGAATTTATAATACATGATTTGGAGATATTGATCTCTGAGGAAAGTGATTTTGCAGGTTACTGTGTTGGAATCACGGCCGAGAATTGGTGGCCGAGTGCATACTGATTATTCGTTTGGTTTCCCGGTTGACTTGGGTGCTTCATGGTAATTTCTTATTTCTATTATATGTTTCTTTTTATGTTTTGTGTTGCCTCGAAATGAAACTTTTACATGTTATTGGTACTATTCATGACTGCTTCTTCAAATATTTGATCAGGTTGCATGGTGTTTCCAAGGAGAACCCATTAGCTACAGTTATTGGACGGTTGGGATTACCACTTTATCGCACTAGTGGTGACAATTCAGTTTTATATGATCATGATCTAGAAAGGTACTTTTTATGCTTGTACTGCTTTAGTGTTATTTAAAATTGTTGACGGAATACCAATAGTGAATGATGTGTTTATGCACTCGTGCTGCGGTTCTTTCTGGTATCTTGTTGAATAAAATGATTTTTGAAAAAGGTGTTCAATGTATGAATTCTTATACACCTCGTTTACAGGTAATAATCTGAATGTCTACTATGTTTGTCTAGTAAAAGTGTAATGAATGGTTCTAAATTTCTTTGAAATAATGGATTCAAATTTTTTTCTACATTTTTCTTTTTTTCAGTTATGCCCTTTATGATGTGGATGGAAAACAAGTTCCACAAGGTCTAGTCTCAAAGGTTGGGGAAACATTTGAGACCATTTTGAAAGAGGTATACCCACTTTCCTCTATGGCCGTCATCCCCATTCAGCAAATTTATTAGCTTTATTCATTGTCCACTTGATCGACCTTTTCCACTTTTTGTACCACCAAAATTATTTTCTTTTTAATTCCTGAATGTTGATTGTTTTATTTTATTTCCTTTTTCCTTTCCCACTTTTCTGATTTGATTTACTATACCTCTGCAGACGGATCTTGTAAGACAGGAGTTCAGTGAAGACATGTCTATACAGCATGCAATCTCAATTGTCTTTGAAAGGAGACCAGATTTAAGGTTCCATTTGTTTAATTCCTTTCGAACATTATCAGTTACTTTTACTTGTTCGAATATTCATGAATAAGTTGTATGCATATTGTAGGTTGGAGGGGCTTGAACATAAGGTGTTGCAATGGTACCTATGCCGAATGGAAGGCTGGTTTTCTGCAGATGCTGATACCATATCACTTAAAAGCTGGGACCAGGTTTTATCCACCTATTCTTTTAAACAAAAAAATAAAAATAAAAATTGCATTGTTTAAAATCTACGACTTGGTTTTGATTTATTAAATTAAATATTATTGCCCTAAACGAAACATGGAATTTAGAATGACCCCTTGAGTCTAATTGTCTCATTTGCTATATTGTGTTCTTTAGGAAGAGTTGCTTCCTGGCGGGCATGGGCTCATGGTACGTGGATATCTTCCTGTAATCAATACACTTGCAAAAGGGCTCGATATTCGCCTCAGCCACAGGTAAATGTTAATAAATATCCCCTCTCGATTGCACCCTATAACGTGCAGTTCTTCCCAAGCTTACCTTTTT